GCTCACTTTATCGCACGCTCCGGGCAACGCCTCTTCGATGAACGAGCGATAACACCTAGAACACTCGTGCGACGCCCCTTAAGCTTATCATGCGTGGCGCACGAGTACGGCGCGATGTGTTACACTTTTGGTTGACTTATTATAAAGTATAGTTCGCTTATATCATCCCGTTTATCGTCATGCCAGTGACGTAGCAACCGGGCTCACATTCTTCCTCTTGATAATTTCCCAAACGCACGACGTCATCTATTGCACCATTCATCCACAATATATACAGACCTATCAACCTCCGTTGAGCACGTTGTATGAGATATTCATCAAGATAATCTGAATTGTTCATAGTGTTTTACCATAGATCTTTGTTATGCGAGTAATCAAATAATTAATAACACTGCAAAATAAAAAATAATCCTCTATTTGACAAATTACGAAACGGCATTCGACTCTGTAGAGATATATCAACGGCTCTATTTTTAGTGTTTTCTTTATTGGTACTGCAATACCCAGGAGAGATTTTAGCAGGTGGGTACAAGAGACGTAAATATGAGCAAACAACACCAGGCAAACAGATGGAACAGCGTATCACATTTCACATAGTAGGCAGCTGTATAACACAACGCAAACAAATAACTATCACTTGCGTTTTACAACGTAAACAAACCAAACAAAATATTACCGATGACACATCATCCTCAATAAACAATTGTATCGGGCCAGTTGGTATGAATCCGTCTTGGTAGAAAGCGCAGCCACTATTACACAGAAGATCATTGTCATTAAAAAATTAAGCTAGCACACAAGTAAAATTATTTTCTCTGTTTTACCAGACCAGAGGCAAACGATGTTAAATATTGTGTTGTGACTTGATGGTTATTTAAACTATTCCGATCCTGCATAGCTCTGGGGGAAAAAGAATATTTCAAGCAGTTATTGCGGGTACGGAATGGAGGTATTGTATGATCATGGCGTTGTCTGGTGGCGTAACCTGAAGAAAAGGAAATATTTTTTCCAATATATATCTTGTTGTGCCCAATAATTATTTCATATAAATATTTTAATCGGGATATGCGGTTTCTTTCTGAGCGTGAAGGTAAGTTAGCTCTGACTAAGAGTTCATTTACCGAGGTTCGTCCATAACTGTTATATATGAAGCGAACGACTCTTCTTTGTATTTCTTCGATCTTATGAGTATTACTTTGAGTAAATGGATCCCAGATCACCGCAGCATAATCAAGTATGGGGAGTACTATCGATTTGTAAGCAAGAACATGGGCGGATAGAGGGGAGAGTTTCAACGTCATTCGTAAAAAATTGGCAGATCCCACGTACAGTGGGAATCGGTGATATGCGAAGCACGAATGAGAAATGTTGATATGTCACTTTAAAATCAGCACAACGTTACGAGGTGGAGGTAAATGATGCCGTACATGACTTGTCATATGATTATCATGTTAGGGTGTGTCGTTTGCCTTCGTCATCTATTCACGTAACGCGATACCAAATTTAGTATATGTGGAGCAAGCGAAACGGCCGCGAGCATGCTATGAGTGTGCTGTATTGTCGTGTACGTTCTTACATGACACGCGTGTGAGGATTATCATGTTTGCACTAGTCATATATTTCGTCATCAATTGACTTCACATAACACTGAACTTGGCATACGTGGAGCTAGCAAAACGGCCGCGTGCGCATTTTGGGCACAGCAACGTTACGTTAGCAAAACTCAAAGCAAAAATTTTCAAACAGTCAAATCAATCTAATCTTTTCAGTTTTTTCAATTGACATAAAGGACCTGTACTACTCCTTGCCTCACGATAAAGTATTAGAATGCATAAGGGATAACATAGAAATCTTCGGGGAATCGAACTTCCAATTAAAAACTGGCATCAGTGCGTGAGATTTTCTTGACCTGGTTTTGCTGTACCTTACCTCTACTTTCGTTCAATGGAATGATAGCATTTATCTACAGAAAAAGGGTGTTTCAATCTGTTCATGTATGGCACCTCTACTCAGTGTTCTTCTATTGGCAAAAATGGGCAAAAACTGCAAAAAAAGTTAGAAGGCTCGCATGTCGTCAAAGTATTCAGATACGTGGATGATTTCTTGGTTCTTCTAAATTGTAACCCTTCTATGTTCCACTCGATTGCGACTCAAACGATAGGTGTGTTTGAAGATTGTTTGAAGCCCCTTGTGTTGACACATGAAATGCCCGAGAATGACAAGTTACGCTTTATGGATTTAAGACTGTTACAGCACATCTGTTGGTGTCATGAACCACGTGCGCAGAAGCCTTTTAGTTCCTTTTTCTTCCGCTCACAGCAAGTTAGTTAAGCGAGGCATAGCATGAACCTGTCTTGAGAATGCCTTAAATAGGTCGTGCGCCTACAATATCTCTGCGAGCTTCAAAGCTTAAATTTCCCGGCTTAAGGCTTCGGGTTTCCCCGAGGCGTTTATCGCTTCCGTTGCTGAGACTATCCTGCGGACTAATAAGGCAGAGCAGAGGCAGCGACAGAATCCGAGCAACACGGATACAGAGCGTGAAAGGATAGCCGTGATTCCATACAAACACCAGATATCACACAGGCGCCAGGAAATCGGTAAAAGAGGTTGAGTTCGTGTCCTGTTCTCGGCACCGTTCAAATTAATCAGCATCACCAAATCCACAAGCCCCCTCAAAAACGCCGTCATCAACGGAATGCAGAGTTCAACATAGAAACAGGTATGCGGCATGCTCCCGGGAAGTTGTCTATAGGACCCCCCTTTTATGGGGTGCTTGTTATGTCGGAACAACCGGAAGGTGTCTGAACGATCGACTGAGAGAACACACTAACAACGTTAGAAACGGGAAAGATGGTTTTCTTGCTCAGCACTGCACTGAGTGCAACTGTGTGCGCCTTTTCAAAGACACAGTGACTCTGTACAAGCACAAAGATGAGCGCACCCAAGTCATTGTCGAGACGATTATTACAGCGCGAGAACAAAACGACGACATAGAGACAAGAAAGACACGAAAGACACGAGCGCACGAGCGAGTGTCTTTCGTGTCCTTTTTGTCTCTGTGTCGTCGTGTTGTTCTGCCGCTTTAACTATCGTCATGCCATACCAACTAGCCTAAGCTGCCACACTTCTAAGTTCCTCGAAGGTTTCGGTGTGCGCAAGTAGTTATATTATTTTTACTTTTCTGTTTCGTTTCCTTATAGAGTGTTCTTTACATGTCTTTTTCTGTGCTTTTGTTTTTTGTTTTTCTCTTACTCATGTTTTACTTTTTGTCACGTGGTTACTGTCTCCTCTAATATTTTCGTGCTCTGCGCAATAAACTCAGTTGGAAGTTAGCGCTCGTGTCCTTCTTGTCTCTGTGTCGTCGTTTTCTTCTCCCGCTATAACTATATCGTCAGGCACTACAACACTCCAATTCTCTTACTCTCTCCGCTCATCGCACATAGCACCACCACCACTTCAGAGGGGTTCGACAAAAGACAGCTATTTGCCAAAGTTCACTCAATCTTTGTTCGTCGCACGTAGCGCCACCACAGAGTGCTACAATAGCTGCGCGTTTTTACATAAAGTGGGTAACGATTTAGAGCACAAGATACTCTTTTATGGGAGAGCCCAAGGCCGTCCCGTGGACCTCAATGTGCAGACCCTACGGTCGTCAAAGTACGAAAACAGGGATACGGTCACCACTGTCAGCAAACGGCTAGCATGTCCTCGAATGTCACCGCCCAAGTCCACTTTTGTTAAGCTGGTTTCAATACAAGAATGTAAACGTGCCAACAATCTAGGTCTGCGATTCTAACAAGGACCTTCCGCAGGCAATAATAATTATGTTGAAAAAGACGAACTTTTATTTTTAAATGCTCCTGGCACTTACCTTAGGCGTGCCATGAGATATGTCACCACCTGTAAAAAACTTTTAAAAACAACCTTTCATATCATCTAGTCTTGATACCGCGAGCATCTCGTGTTTTCTGGTAAAAGAAACTCATCAGCTAGCGAACATTAACAACAAATCTTGAAGTTTGTTTGTTATATTTTAAGTTGAAAAGAATAAACTTACTTAAAAACGATTTTTAAGATTTTCTTTCTTTCAAAAGTTGCTTTAGAAGCGCGAAGCTCCTTAAGCCGTGGGTCGTGCGTCCGTGATGTATGTATGTAGTTGTATTATAAGCAGTATATAGTCGTAGTAGTAGGTAGAATCATCTCGTTCTGTCACTGGAATGTCCGCTGGATGCGGTACTTATATATGATGAATATATGATGGAAAGATGCGAGATGGTGGGATTTGGAGTGTTCACTAGGCGGCCAGACAGACAGATAAGCAGGCAGACGGATGGGCTCACAGACGGACGGATGCATGGACGAACGCAGAGACGGAGAGACAGACGTACGAATGCAGTGATGGACGCACAGACAGACGCACGTACGAATGCAGGGACCGATGCACGGACGGATGCACCGACAGACGGACGCACGAATGGGCGCAAAGATGGACGAATGCACGGATGGATGCATGCAGAGACGAACGCACAGACGGACGGATGCATGAACGAGCGGGTGGACGGGCGTACGCACAGATGCGCACACGGCCGTATGAACGAACGCAGAGACGGACGCACTGACAGGACGCACGCACAGACAGACGGACGTACGGATTGACACACGGACGGAAGTGCGGACGGACTGATGGACGCTTCGCCACACTCATCATCATTCACCTCGTGGATATTCTGCGATTTTTTTATATCTGTGAGAGGGTACTACAAGCGTGCCTGTCTACATGGCGCGCCCTCGATGCTTTCCATTAATACGTAATATCCTCCTGAGTACCAGCAATGGGAAATTTGTCCAAAATATTGGACATCGAAGACCGAGCAATTACAGCTTTTCCAAAGCTCCTATCACCGTGGAACCGGTTGTCCAATACCTTGGACAACTGGTGCTCCCATCAGTACCGTGGTTTTGAAATTAGAGATCTCGAAACGCCGCTAGGAGTATTCATAATGGCGGCGTTCAGAGGTGCGGCGTTCTACGGTGTCAACCGTAACCGTAAGTACGTTTTTTCGCACTTTGAGCTTATTTAATGTCATTTCATAGGTTAAACGTCAAAGATAATGTTGCAGAGAGCACACGCAACTAAATATTTCAGCTCTTAACATCCTTTGTTTTACCTACGTGGTGTGAGTTTTGACATGTCCAAAAGATTGGCCGTCGGGACTGAACCAAGTTGCTTTGTGTGAATTACGTGGCGTGCTGCAGTGTCAACAGAACGTGCTTGCTTCCGATTGCTACTAGGTTGCGGTATGATATGAAATTCTTTTTCATTTAGGAAAAAGGCCACGCGTCAGTGATGAGACGGCCGAAAGAATCCTTGAACGAATCGCTGGAACGGCCACGCCCAACATTGATCTTTCAGACAGTGACGACGACACTTTGGTAGACACTACATTTTTGGCTCCACTTGATACCCTGAGCTCTGAAGAGGACGAAAATAGCGACGATGAACGCCCGTCCACCTCGAAGACGACAAAGGGGCAGTCATGGAAACGCCATGATGGGTAAGGAATAGTAGTAGTATGCGTTTTGGGAAAGGGGGGGGGGGGTAATTTACTGCAGGAGTGTGCATTGTGACGGTCTGTCATTGCCATGTGAACGGATCAAAAGTAACTCTGCTCTTTTACGCTGTTTTTCTTCATGCAGGCCGCTTCCGTCTTGGATTCCTGACTTCACATCCACCCCTGATGACAGTCAACAACGGGTTTCGTGCAGTCCAAGTGACTACCTCGTTCAGTATGTGCCACATGAAGTCTTCGAGATGATGGCTTTTGCCATGAACACGACACATGTTCAGGAGACTGGAAAAAGTCTGGAGACCTCAGTAGAAGAACTCAAAATGTTTTTTTTTGGATTTCACTGACAATGTCCTGCCTGTGCTACCCGCAGATTCGCATGTACTGGATGAAAAAGACAAGGGTGCCTCTTGTTGCGGATAACATGACAAAGAACCGGTACTTTCAACTTCGGCGCCGGCTGAAGCTAGTTAACAAATTTGATGTAAGTGAGCAAGAAAAAGAAAAAGACAGGCTCTGGCGCATGAGACCACTGGTGTCATTTCTACTGGAAGGGTGTCAGAAGCTTCCTCGGGAAGAGAATGTCAGCATAGACGAACAAATGATCCCGTTCAGTCGACGAACGCAGCTGAAGCAGTTCGTACCACGCAAGCCAAACCCACAGGGGCTCAAAAACTTTGTGCTCGCCACGCCAGGCGGATTAATCTTCGACTCTGAGATCTATCAAGGAAAAAAGGCAGCATTGTATCCAGGCAGCTCTGGAATAGAAGAATCCGCAGTGCTGAGGCTCACTGAGACGCTCCCTCCCGGAACGAAGGTCTACTTCGACAGATACTTCACATCAGGGCCGCTGCTGGATAAGCTAGCAGAAAACGGAATCGCTGGCACGGGAACAATTATGAACAACCGGATCCCAAAAGGGGTGAAACTATCCACCCAGAAAGAGCTAAAAGAAAAAGGAAGAGAGAAGTCAGAGATGTTTGCGAGAAGCGACAAAAAACAGGCAGTTGTACGTTGGTATGACAATAAGCACATTACGTTGATGTCCTCTATCCACGGCCAGCACCCAGAAGACACATGCCGTAGGTGGTCCAGGAAAGAAAAAAAACACATTGATGTGCCCCGGCCAGATGTTGTACGGTTGGACAATGTCAACATGAGAGGAGTTGATCTCGCAGATCGTATGATCAGCTATTACACAATCAAAGCTTGAGTGAACAAGTGGGCCATCAGAAGCATCTTCCACCTATTCGACATTGCGTTAAGCAACTCATGGATGCAGTACGTGCAAGACATGCGGGTGCAAGAAAAGCGCCAGAAAGTGATCGTGAAATTCCTGGAGCTTCGTCTGTCTGTTGGTGAGGAACTAATCGCGCAAGCTCAGAGTCAAAATGAAGCGGAGAGTGACTCCGACGAAGAATGGTGCCCACCACCAAAAAGGGCTCCGTTGCCTCCAGTCGAAGCAAGAGCAAAGACGTTAGGCCATTTCCCAAGACTGGCAGATGCTCCGAATGCGGCCCGCAGCAGGCTCGAAGGATGCAACCAGAACACGCGGTTCTTCTGCACAAAGTGTCATTTGTTTTTTTGCGTCACCAAAGACAGGAGATGCTTCGAAAATGCTCACACCAAGTGAATGAAGGAGCTCACACAAAGTGAACAAAGCAGTTTGTAAATAAAATGTTCGTACGTTTACCTGATCAAATTATTTATCACAAAAAACATCTCGCGTGTAACAATACCACTGCGTTAGAAAAGACCGCATAGAGTCCCAATCTCCAATATAAAGGAAAATGCGGCACACACGTCCGAAAGTTTCCAGTGAATAATAAGTTATTATTATATCCAGAGGCCCTCATAAACTAATTTTGAAAGTTTCACCAAAATCCGTTGCACTAAAATCAGTCTGGGACTCAGGAGGATATTGGTAATATCAAAGGATACCGACTACTATAAAGAAAGGAAGCTGTACCTTTCACTGCTGTATCAAAATTAGAGTAGCCGTTGCTTACTGAACTATGTATGCAAAAAAAAAATAGTCATGGTCTTTTTTAACACTGGGCAGGCATTTTTTGCGCCACAAAACAAAAAACATACATCAATATTTGGTGTTTTTTGTTTGTACACTGGCAGCGGGTGTCACGCTGCCGACACGCTGCATCCGGTGCTTGAACCGGTGCTTAAACCGGTGCCGACGCAGCCGCAACCTAAGGGCCAGTTCACGCTGGCGGAAAGCATGCCCTGACGGCGCGGTGCCGTAGACTAAGGTCCCTAGATAAAAAAGTTTTCACTTTTTCATCTAGGGACCTTACCGTAGACCGGCAACCGGCGCCACCCGCAGAAGAGTGGTTCGAGGCATAGAGTTTCCTAATATACACTAGAGGGAACTCTGGCGCTAGTGTCTATGGGAGCTGCAACGCACGGCGCTTCAGCGAGCATGGGAATGATGGGTAGACAGGGTAGTACAGGCCGCCGCTGCCGCGACCTTGTGAGAATAGCCGAAATGCTATATTCACCCGGTCAAAATAACGAAAACGCTATTTCACCCAACTTGGCTTGGATCTAGGCGGATTCGAGGAACATTGCGGCGTTTCGTCAAAGTTTACAACGCCGGTTCGGGCAACCTATGGAAGCTTTTCTTTTGATGAAGGCACATCAGGCGCATTTTTTTTTGCGTGTTTGTGATTGGCTCGGTGTTCACGCCGTTGGCGCACACTGTGATTGTGTTTGTTGTTGCAATGTGCTTTGTGAACGTGAATAGTTAGATTGTGTTCGCGTTTGGAACCACTGAATTTTGTGGTTCGCCTGAGCTTGCGTGAAGGCCACGATGTCTAGGACTCGTGAACCTGTGTCAGTGCTCTTTGACATCCGTAATATTTATTTCTGTTGTGTGCGTGGTGGTGACATTGTGTTAGTCCGTAAGTGTTGCCAGTTTTGCTGGGCGCGCTTGTAGTTATGCGGTTTGCGCGGCCGTTCGGCAAACTGCTCTGGTTCTTGCGCTTGTTCGTCGAATACTTCATTTTAAAGGCGTAGTAGCTATCGAACTAGTATTAGCTGAGCTGTGAAATGCGCGGTACTTCAACCACTACATCATTCACAAAAGCTGCCGACCACCCTGTTTTCAAAGTACGAGCATCACACGATGTTATTCCGATGGCCAACCAGTCCAAGTTTCTTCATTCCGTTAGATGTGGAGATGAGTCAATCACGGTCCAGAAATTCACTTTCGATAGAAAGTGCTCATGTGACACCCACATGCTCAATCAAGCCTCGTTATTCGCTTCCATGGCGGCGCGAGCGATAAAAAAACATTCGACTGTGAGCGTGCGGCTATCACGCCACGGTTGCTGCGCAACATGCGGCAGCGGACTAGTTGGTATTCCATACTTCAAACTGCTCAGCGTCAAACACAGCAACACAATTGAGAGGAGGATTAGCGCCGACATTCAATTGAAATTTCTCACAACTGCCAAATGTGTTGCCCTGCACCCGAGATTAAAACAACATGCTTATGCTGAAAACAACAACAACAACAAAAAAAGAAGTGAAGCATAAAATCACAGAGACCACAAAAAAAAACGATAAGCGGCGACATAGCACTAGTCAATGAATCCAGGTAAGCCAGTTCTTTGTAGTCAAAAGTATTGAAAGTTCTGGGTGCCATAATGATGATTGATGGATCGTTTGGAAATCGTTTTCTGATTATGAGAAGCCAAACAAACGTTTCTACCCATGTATTCTACTTTTTGCAAATTGTTCTGTAACCATTTGGTTAGAAACTTTCCTGTTTGACCAACGAGCTAAATAAGCATCTAAGTTATGTGCTTGAACTAGTGTTGTTGAAAAACCTTTGTACCATAGCCAAGCTATGCCCTGCAAAAATTTGCTGACTGTGCAGTAGGTATCGATTACACCATATATACCTTGGTTCTGTGCACACAGTTTCGTGGGTCAAGGAGACGGCCGCCTAAATATAGGGTTGCTGGAACATTGCCAAAAAGTAAAAACCATAGAGATGGTTCTTTGGCTTCTGATTGTTGAGAATGTGGTTGCCAGCCCCTGTTTGAGAAAACACAAGCTCTTGCAGCTCACCTTTATGATAGCATCAGGATTATCATTGAGGCTGCACGAACAGCTAAATAGGCTGCTGACGTTAAACCTTCGATGTTACTATCTGTTCAAGAACTGGCTTACCTGTATTCATCATCATGTGCTACTTTGCCTTAGTTTTTTTACAGCCTGTTTCAGTGCCCCTTGGAGGAGGAGGAGGAATAAACTTTATTATAAGAAACCAGCAGGTTTAGGTGGCCAGGCCTAAGCCTCCCATGCGGGGACGTCAAGGGCTTGCCTCGACACTGCCTCACGGGCGTGCTGGGTCGCCCAGGTTTGGTCGTAAAGAGCGGGGCTCCGCAGAGCTTCATGGAGCTTCGACGAAAGGGTCGTGGCATTAGTGTGTCTGTACTGTGCCGGGCACTCCCACAGCATGTGCGGAAGCGTAGCCGGGGAGCGCCGCAGCACCGGCAGATGGAGGTTGTGTGCACGTCCGGGAATATGAGGTGACAGCGGGCAGGTGAGGGATACGTGTTTGTTCGAAGTAGACGCAAAGTGGTGGCCTGTGCCCGGTTGAGCTTGGGGTGAGGTGGGGGAAAGGCTCGGCGTCTGAGGTAAAAGTTTTTAACCAGATAATTGTAGGTAGTGAGGTTGTCCCTGGTGCCCATCTCGTCTCTAGTAGATCCAGCGCGGTTGACAAGGCCTCGCGCAAGGGAGTGGGTGACCCCCTTCACTTAATTTTTTCCCTAACATGCGCATGTTAGTATTTGAGGTGGGGGCTATATATTGTATGTTGTATAAAATTTCAGTTGGAAGCCTGTGCTATTTCAGTTGGAAGCCTTTTTGTTATTTTGACCGGGTGAATATAGCATTCCGGCTATTCTCACCAGGTCGCAGCAGCGGCGGCCTTCCCATCTTTTGTCGTTTTCTTGCTCCTAACCTCCTCTCAATCGGCTCCCGATCTCACTGTGGTGACGTCAGCCTGTTGAGGGGAAGGCTCGGGAAGGCCCTCTGTAGTCTAGGTTGTGTTGACTAGGCGCCCTTTGACTCACATTGCTTCCAAGTGGAACATCCAATTGAACCCATTAACTTTTTTGACTAGAAATGTGTATTGGGGAGAGAGAGAGAAACGAGTAAACGGGGAAGGCACGCGAAGGCCTTCTGTAGTCTAGGTGGTGTTGACTAGGCCAGCGCCCTTTGGCTCCCATTGCTCCCAAGTGGAACATCCAATTGGACCCATTGCCTTTTGTTGACTGGGAATGTGTATTTGAGAGAGAGATAGAAACGAGAAAAAGAGAAGCCAGATATGTTGACCACATGCTATAGGATCCAGTATGCTACCCTGCTCTGGGGTTGGGGAATAGGGGGTCGAAAGAGAGTGATATAAAAAATAAGCAAGAACAAGAAAATACAGACACACACGCACTCAACACCTCAATCCACTCAGAAATCCAAAATCTAGATGGGAGCCAACAGATGGAAACAACGTAGTGGGATAATCACGTTGAACAGTGGAAGTCTCATCCTAATCGCCATGAACAGCTTAACTTTCTGCGCCTTCTCCATTATCACAATCTACAACAGATTGTGCAGGAACCAACACGTGACACAAATATTTCAGACCTTATAATAACCAATCATGCCGACAGCACTAAAGTTGAGATCTTAGAAGAAATAAGTGATCATAGGGAAGTTCGCTGCTCTCTGCCTCTTCCGCATGCCAAGAAAACAGACGTCCGAAAAAATATACTTAACTACGCACGCGCAGACACTGATAAGCTTAACAGATTACCAGAATCTTTTTCGGATGAATTTATATCTAACTTTCCCAATCAGTCTACTGAACAAAACTGGTGCTTATTTCGTGACAAATTAAAAGAAATAGAACGTCTTTGTGTGCCGGTGATTACAATAACTGAAAAAGCGGATGATCCATGGTTCACCAGTCACATTAAAAGATGGCTTAATAGAAAAAAGAGAGTGTACACTAAAGCGTCGAGAACGAACGCGTCGGAGGACTGGCAGAACTATAAAAACGTTTCCCAACAAACAGAAGCCGCAATTTCTGAAGTGAAAAATAAGTACTACAATGACACGCTACCTAACATGTTCAAAACTGACACTAAGAAGTTCTGGAGCACTGTAAATCCCAAGAAAAGAGAGTTGGTGCCAGCACTCTGTGGAGAGGATGGCAACACCCTGAGCTTAGCCGGCTGTGCTGAAAAACAACCTTTTTTTTTTTCTGAAGTTCACACAATCGAGAGACCGCTCGATAGCAACCTAAATTTGCCACAGCTAACTATCTCTAATCAATTTTCTCCCATCACAATTACTGCACACGGTGTATAGCTTGTGCAATAGATCGTTTAGCTCTTAAAACCAGCCCCAGCCCTGATGATATTAGCGCTAAGCTTTTAAAACTTACCAGCCACTTCTCAGCCTCTTTGCTCACGTTAATTTTTCAACAATCTTTAGATACCGGTTGCTTACCAGAGGATTGGAAATCTGCTTACATAATCCCAATATTCAAATCTGGTGATAATACTCAGCCCAATAACTACAGACCAATCTCTTTGACGTCCATATGCTGCAAGCCTCTCGAACATATCCTATTCACAAATATAATGGCTTATCTTAATTTAAATAACTTGCTCCTAAACAACCAACACGGTTTTCGTCAAAATTTCTCATGTCAATCGCAACTTTTCGAATTAATTACTGACCTTCATTCTGCGCTTAACTCTTTCCGTCATGTCGATGCCATATTTATTGATTTCTCAAAGGCATTTGATAGGGTACCCTACAAACGTTTAGAACTAAAAATTCGCAATCTGAAACAATACAACAGAATAGATACTGAAATTTCTTACTAACCGCTTCCAATCTGTAAAACTAAAGAGCTACACCTCTAACCCTACTAGCGTTTTATCCGGTGTTCCCCAAGGCTCGGTTCTTGGTTCTCTTTTGTTCTTAATATACATTAATGACATAGCATGTAACATAAGTTCGCAAATTCGGCTATTTGCAGACGACTGCGCAATTTACAAAGAAATAACTTGCCCTAGCGATAATACCATTTTACAATCTGACCTCGATTGGCTGGCCGAGTGGTGCGACACGTGGCAGATGGACATTAATATAGTGAAAACTAAGCACTTGGAATTTAGTTCTGCTCTAATCCCTTTGTATAAATCA